CTGATGGTGTAATGCCATCAATGTGACAAAATAGCCATATTCATTGAGTAAGCTGCTTTTTAAAAATCAGAACTATTTAGAAGGGGAGGAGATTAGTATGCTCTAACCACAATTTGTTAATAATTGTCAATATCCTATTATAGACATGTCTCAGACTTTCTGGCAAAACTATAAGTAATCAATCACTGATGAATTTGCTTCTTAAGTATATGGTTTTAAACCAACTGTTTTTGAACTTATTTTCCTCCTGTGTAATTCTTCATCAGTGATGGTCCTTAAACATTGTATAGTAGAAGCTAATGTGTTTCAGCAAAATTAATTATATGAACTGACTAAGAAAGATTAGTGTTTCAAAATATACAAGCATCATTTTCATTGCAATTAATAGGTAATATTATTTTATCAGTTAAATTAATGGTAGCTAAATAAATTAACTGCTTTTGTTTCTCACCAATGCAACAAAAAGTAGAGATTGGGAAGATTATGGCTCAAGATCAGCCTGGACAAAAAGTTAGTGAGACCCCCATCTCAATAAGTAAGTCTCTAGGGCATGCCTAAGATCTCAGCTATGCAAGAGGCATAAGTAGGAGGAGTGTAGTTCAGGCTGGCCAGGGGAAAGAAGAGCAAAGGACACCATCTGAAAAATCATTTAAATGGAGAATAGTAAGCATCCTATCTATTCCCTCTACTACTTGGAAATTGTCTTTTTGGGAGAAGACCAACCAAATCACAGGTTGTTTGATAAAAATTTATACTGTCAATCCTTCTGTTAATAATTCAACAAGGATCTCAGTGAGGTTATGTTTGCATTTAATACTGATGATGTAATGCCATCAATGTGACAAAAAAAATTTTAAAAAGAGGACTGGTGTTAAAAGTTTCTTTGGAAGAAAAATGGCAAGCATCCTTTAAAAGAAGTACTAAGTAAAGAGAAAGTGGCAGACAAAGGTGAGAAATGAAGGTGCCAAGATGTGAAAATGAATACCTCTCTCTTGGGAGAGCAGAGAAAGTGATATAACCAAAGGGTTAAAGGTCTTATAAAGAATCTGACATACACTAGAGAAGTAGAAAGCCTGAAGAAGTTGGTATTTTAAGAAAATTTGTTGGATGTTAATGCAATCCAGTTGGGTACCTGAGGGGATGGTTATGACTGGAGAAAGAAATGAGCAGACATTTCACCATGCAGTCATTTCTATTCAAACAGAAAATAATGTTTTTATAATTTTTCATTTTGCATGTGTGTATAAAACAAATAATGCTAACAATTATCTGTCAATATACATAGATCTTGGCTGGAGTTAGATAATTTTGGCACATTGTCATCTTTCATGAAATGTGAAATTCAAATTAATTGAGTCTATTATCAAGTATAATAAAAATTGATTTATTTGCAATTGACATTGGAATAAACCAAATAAAAAATTTGTTCATGTGAATTTGGAAATTCCAAGTATCTATTAGAAATATGTGTGTACATTTTGTGATGTATACTTAATTTATTTATCTAAAACGTAATATATAGTATATATTTATAATAAAATGATTAAAAGTACAATTATATTAAGGACTTAATGAAAGATAAGAACTAGGTAATTATAAATAATGTTTATGCAAATAATTTGTATAGAAGTTTATATAAGTTAATATTATTATGTGAATCATGCTCTTGAAAAATGCTATGAAGAAATCCCAAATTAGGTCATTTCTTATGATATAAAATATCACTGAAGTCATTTAGGCCTTTTGACTATAATCCTTAAGCACAGAGATAATCCCCAAAATCTTCACTGGCTCTAGATCAAAGGATGAGATCCTTGGAAGCCAAGGAAAAGAAAAAGACATTTTTGCTTAGCTTCTTCCAACTTTTATTTTGGAGATACATAGTATAAGAAAATCCTTGGAGATGATTGAATTCACACATTTTGTCATCTGGAGCCTACTATAGCGCAAACATAGTGTCTCTGAGGACTTACAGTTACAGTTACTGTAAGTATAGTTACTTACAGTACATTCATATTCTCTTTGAATTTTTTTACTATAATACTATAACAATGTGCTGAATTTTCTTGCTAAACCTAACTTCTCTTGAGTTTCTTTGTTCTATTTCACAAGTTGCTCTAATTTTATTGTCCAAGGTGACCTGAAATAAGTTTCAATATCTTGGCACTGAATTCTCTTTTATGAACTTAAGAACACTAAATGATGGAGTAAAAGCTTTAAAGTCATTTGCCTATTCATGTAGCTTTTTCCATCACTTCAGAAATATACCCGTGAATAAGCAGTTTGTATTCATTGATTGGAATAATATAATTATTGCTGTGTATAAGACATTTAAATTGTATTTAATTGTAACTTGGAGATAATTCAGACCTGGCTTCTTTAGACCTAGACAAAATATTTTTCACATGGAAATCTGAAAAAAAGCATAAATTAAAAAAACCCAAATTTGAATTTATGTTGCATATAAAATAAACAAATGTTAATTCTTTAATTATTCTGACATAATACCTTATCATTATTGATATAATAGTAAGTCATTGTTAGCCAGTTTTTGTCACTGTGAGTAAATTCCTGACATAAGCAACTTAATGGAGGAAATGTTTATTTTGGCTCATGGTTTCAGAGATTTCAGTCTTGGTCACTTGGCTGTGTGTTTCTGGTCTCTGCAGTAATGTCATGGTGGAAAGGAAGAGTAGAGGAAAGCTACTTACCTCATGATAGCCAGGATGGCAGCAAGAGAGAGTATGAAGAAGGGCCTGGAGACAAGACGCAAATTTCCAGGGCATGCACCCCATAACCTACTGCCTCCAACAAGGCCCTACCTCCTATTTTCCACAGCCTTCCAAATATGCCATCAGAGTATGACTCCATCAATGGATGAATCCATTAATGAGATCAGAGCATCCATGATCAAATCACTGTTCAAAATCTCCACATCTGAACATTCATTGGGAACCAAATCTTAACACCTGAGCCTTTGAGGGAACATTTCAGGGCCAAACCATAATGGCAATATTTAGTAATATGTGTTTTATTATAGCATTTATTTATTACTTTAAGCAAACATTGACATATAGCATGAAGTATTTCATTAGCAAATATATCTACTAGGTATAAAACTTGTTATCACTCTATTAACGTTTAACAAAAATATCTGCTTGTTGATTTGATATCAGGATAGATTTCTTATCAATTTGATAAAAATAATGACTTACTCTGTCCAAGAGAGTAAAATTTCCATGTAAAATGGTAAAAAAAAATCCCAAAAAGTGATTTTGGAAAGAAAACTACAATATTGCTTTATATAATTTATGAAGGAATAAAAAGTAAAAGAGAGAGAGAAACTAATTAACTTTCTATAGACTAAAAACAGGTCAGCATAGCACATAATAGGAGAATAATTTAGTACTTAAAAAGACTCACTAACTTATGTAAAAGTAAAATTTGTACACTGAATTCTCTTTCAAACAATAAAGATTCTCTACAATTATTTTTATTTATAAAAAGATAAAATTCAGGCAAATATAAACTTTATGAAACAAAAGATCATACACTAGAATAGTGTGTCAAGAAAAATAGGGAACTGCATAAAAGAAATAAAGAAGAACTCAACAAGATCAGAAAAGAATTCATCACCATAAATAAAACAGAAGTGGGATAAAGATATTAGCAGCAAGAGAGCAGAATTTACACTATGAAAAATAAAGTCAGACTGTGGAGGTAAAATCTGAAATAGTATCTTAATTGAAGGGGAAAATAATACATCTTAAAGTAGACAGTAAAACATCTTAATGCAGACAATAAAACTGCAACACATAAGATAAAATCAATGAAAAGAAAAAAACTAAAGAGAACTTTACCCATAAATACAAATATGTAACTCTTAGATAAAATACTATCTAATTGAATCAACCTTACAATAAAATAATAATAGTTCATTACCAAGTAAAAGTTATTCCTCTAATATAATCCTAGTTCACTTTAATAATAGAGTCACCATCTCAATGAAGTTGATTTTAAATTTGTTTATTTAAATATTGACTGCATAGTAATTAAGATAAAATTCAAACTAAGTTCAAATCTTGCCTCTTCATTTTTTGCTGAATGTCACAGAAAATTACTTATTCTCTCTAAGTTTTCTTATCTATGATATGGGAATAAAAGCAATGAATACTTCATAGGGTGTTTGAGAGGATTAATTCCTTACCTGAATCAAGTGCCCAACATACATTACACTGCACTGAAATTACTACCATCATTGCCACATCATTAATATCACGATTACTACATCATTTCTGTGTCACACACAAAACTTTTGAAAGAGATTCATCATCTGATGAAATGAAAACTATCTTTATTTTATGTTCAGTAATATATTCAGAAGAAAAATGAATGTTAATATTAGTCTATGTTAGTTTCCTGTTGTTGCTGTAACAAATGACAAATGACCACACAGTGCACAAATGTATTCTTTTATAGTTGTGGAGAGCAGAAATCCAAAACAAGTATTGCAGGACTTAAATCAAAATGTCAATAGGGCTGGTTTCTTTTGAAGACTCTAGGGAAAAATCCATCCTCTTTTCTTTTCTGGCTTGTGGAGGGTGCTTGTATTCTGTAACTTTGTGGACACTTCCTCCATTTTCAGAAGCAAATGACATCTTCTTTCACATGGACTGCTTCTGCCTATATAATCTTCTGTCTCTCATTATAAAACCATGTGTAATTTCATTTAAAGCCTACTTATATAATCTAGAATAATGTATCTATCTCAAAACCCTTAGATTAATCACCCCTGTAAAGTCATTTTGGCAATGTAAGGTAGCATTCACATGTTCTAAGTGTTAGGACACAGTCATGATAACAAGATAAAAGGTGAGAGATGAGAAGCTAAAAGTGTTTTTGCAAGTTTTGATTTTAAAATGTTTATAAGTTTTGGTCAAGCAGAAACAAATTGGAAGCAAAGGAAATTATAAAAAATAAAATTTCATTATTATTTTTAGGTGTTTTAAATGTATATCTACGTTTGAAAGGGCAGACAACAATAGAGAATCCACTGTGGTCTTCAAGTGGGAATAAAGGACAGCGATGGAATGAGGCTCATGTTAATATCTATCCAGTTACTTCATTCCAGGTAAGCAAAGTGCAGCCACTTCTGCTCAGAGGTCACTGTGTATGAGCACCATTTAAAAATGCATGTTCAGAAACTCTGTGGGCAAAGCACAAGAAAATCTCATAGTTAAGTTTCTCCTCAGTTATAAAAGCTGTCTTAGAAAAGCTGCCATTTCTTCATTAATTAACACCCATCAAGTAATATGTTAAAATAATAGTCTTATCAAACTATTAAAGGTGCCGCACACCCATAATCTTAGTCACTTATGAGGCAGAGATCAGGAGGATCATGGTTTCAAGCCAGCATGGGCAAACAGTTCCCGAAACCCCCCTTATTTCAAAAGATCCCATCACAGAAAAGGGTTGATAGAGTGGCTCAAGGCGTAGGGCCTGAGTTCAAACTCCAGAAATGCAAAACAACAAAAAAAAACCCCTCAAGTGATTTTCCTGGAGAAAATGTAATCCATTCCTTTAAAATCACATGCATATATTTTATTTCTGGAAGAAAAATAACATACATAGGTTTTTACAATAATGGAACTGGATAACCAGTTCTCAAATAATCTGTTTGAATTTTGCTTGATGAAATTTTATATACCTTTAACAAAATGCGTCTCTTTAGAGGTAATACAATTGCAATAATCTGTCATTTTGATGATCAACATTGAACAAATTTAAGCAGGTTATTTGTCTTTGTTTTTATAGAGAGAAGTAAGGCTTAGGTCTCATATAAAAGAATTAGCCATAAAAATATCATAGAAACTTCAATGACTATATCAGCGATCAACATAGCTAAAGACAACAGATCACAAAGTTATGTCAATAGAGTTAAAAATAAAGTTTTAGTGATTTTATAAACATATGTAAGTAAATTTGTGTGAGTTCATATCTATATCTACATAACATATATCTAAATATTTCCATATATTTAAAATACAATGAAATATTTTAATAGCGATAGCTATATTCGCTATTTTTTTTTTTTAGTCTTTTCTTTTTTGGTGCTGGGATCAAACCCAGGGCCTCACGCATGCTAGTCAAGCGCTGTACCACCGAGCTACATCCCAGCCCTGTATTCGCTATTTTGAAGGAATTCAAATCCATTTTATGACATTATATTCATGGCATTGAAATTTTTCTACTAGTTATATATTACATGCATGTGTTAAAAGGTTATAGAAAATCAGAGACTTCTCCAATTATGCAAATTTTTAAATTAGTAAAATGTCCTTTCTTATGTTTTGTAAAATTCTGATTGCTTTAAAGATTGAATTTCTAAATCTAACTATAATAATAAAATGCATTCACTCCTTCACAATAATAAAGGATAGTGGAGTAAGAGTAGCTATTGTTCTACAATACATTAGAACAATTCAAGTCATGTGACTAGGAAAACAACAGAATCATTTTGTTTCTATGAAGAACAGTACAATTGCAAAAGATGAATCTGGGGCAAAATATCACTAAATTAAATTAAGTTAGGAAGACAGAACTCCAAGGCATTATTGATAAACGTAATATTAAATATTTGTTAAAGGCATATAAAATTTCATCAGGCAAAGTTCAAATAGATTATTTGAGAACTGGTTATGCAGTTCCATAAGCATATTAAAATGTATATACATATGTAGGTATCAAAGAACCTTGCTTTCTAAAATGTTCATATACATATATATCTATATATATATGTTTGCTTCCTACATGTGCTTCTAGCACAAAGTTATTAAATCAAATGCATATATGATAAGAATTTAAGTTATATTAATGTTGCCTTCCAGATAATATTTTATTGGCATGTACATCAGTTTAATAAATGTCTATTAAGTACTTTCAGGACAATCATTTATTTCCACAGACAAGAGGTCAAAATACTTTTGAGCTCCTAATAGGGGCCAGGCACATTGGTAGGCATGCAGATTTTAAAAAATGATTCATTACCTTGATTGGTGAAAATATACCTCTAAACACATAAATGCATACTGTAATAAAGTCAGTAACAGAGATATGCACAAGATTTTTTGAACATACAAGAAGCATAGGAAGGAGAGGCAAGAAAATCTTATGGTATGAGGTAAATCTGGAACTGAGGCAAGGAACTGCAAAGCAGAGGAAGGTTGGGCATCAGTATTCCAGCATAGGGCTGAGTGAAGAAAGACAACAAAGTCATATACCACAGGATTTGTGAGAGAAACAGAAAGACGTTTCTCTGGAATTGGTACACAAAAAATAAATCAAGAACTGATTATGAGAAATGAGGTTAAGAAACCTATGGAGCTTAGGCAATGGGGAGTCTTGAAAACATGTCACTCAGGAAATGACAAGGCACATCATTTTGTATGTTGTTGTGTGGAAGACTGCTTCAAAGAAAATGGGGTTAGCAAACCAGTTAAGACGCTTTTGCAAAATCCACATAAAAGATGTTGCAGGTTAACCTAGGAAATTAGAACATAGACAAGTGAGTTAACTCAAGTTAAACTGAGATGTAAAAACCAACAGAATATTTTTACTTTTGGAATTTTGGAGGCAGGCATGAATGACTAAGGATTTTTAATCTGTACAGTCTTGAGAAATGCTTGTGCTGCACATTAACTTAAATAACTAAAGGGAAAAAAAGACAAGATTTAGTAATGTATAAGTTTCTTCTGTTTTGGACATGTTGATATAAAATGTCTGGGGAATATCATTTTGAAGTCTTGAATGAAGTTGCTTCAATTAGAGACAGACATATTTGAGTCATCAGATCATATGTGCTACCTGAAACTGTACGAGTAGTTGGTATTAAAGTGAAACCCCTTCAGACTATCCATATACACTTAATTTAAAAATGAGGGGCAGGAGGAAAAAATAAATCTATTCCAGGAGTGCGTACCAGTGGAAGGGGGTGGACACATGGAAAGGGGGAGTGGGGGTATATATGGTGGGAGGTGATTTGTATTCATATATGAAAATACAAGAATGAAACCTGTTTAAATTGTTTTAAGAACTGGGGAGGGGGGAAGAAGGAGAATGATGGAGAGGGTTAATCCAATGAAGATATATTTTAGACACATATGTTGATATCACAATGTCTCCCCCTGTACAACTATTATATGCTAATAAAATCATAAATAAAAAAAGAGTTCTTGGTATTAACAAGGAAAAGTGTACATATGAAAAAAGTGATTACAGAATGGAACCATATAGAGCACTAATCAACCATTGAGATGAACTGCGAAAGAAAAACCCAGTCCTACATAAAGAGATCCAGATGTGCACTGGATTTAAAGAAGACAGGGGAACTCAAATCTAAAGCAATTTGAGCCCAATGGACTAGACCTTTGACATAACTGATAAACTTAGAATGTTTTCAGTAGAGTCAGAGAGGCATAAGTGAACATAGAGAATAACTACTCTTGAAAAATTTGGATAAGGTTATGAAAAAATTAGAAAAATCGCTACCTTAGCTAAAACTATTTAACTGTTCAGAATTAATGGAATTATCTGCAGTCAGCTATTAAATTATTGCGTGATTTATTCAAATAGTTCTTATCTATCCTTTTTTCCCCATTAAAAAGAACACAGAATTTTCTTGTTTTATATTGTTCTCTCAAGGGAAATAAGTTCATTATCCAAGATACAAGAGGGAGAATCCAGAAAGCAATGCCCTCAGAGTATAAGGAATGAGAAGGGTTTCATAAAACAGAACGCCAGCTCCAAGTTTAATGTTGCAATCTTATATGAAGGAGTTGCTTTTCTTTGTGATTTGGCCCTTCTTAATCCATTGGATTATGTTTGCAGAATTACTGCTTAAAAGAAGAAACTTCAAGGAGTGAAATTTTTGTTGCCAGGAAGCATAGGATCAGTTTAAATTCAGAGCAGAAAGATTTTACAGTTTATTAGAAGTGATAACATGTTTCTGTAACTGCAGGGATTTACAAAAGAAATGTACAAGAATTTTCAAAGAATACACTCACATTAACACAAATTTATTCATAATTTTCCAAACATTGGAGAACTTCCCAACTGATGAATTTGATTTCACCTACTACATTTTGGGTGGAAGCCAATTAAAAAATAAAGATTTTGAATCAATGTATTTTTAGCTGCACGTGTTCTTATTATAACCTAAAAATCAGACTTGGTTTTTACGTTAGTTTTCAATGTAGTTACCATTTCTGGAGCTCTTTGTATCTTTTTTGTAAATTTAGTGTTGAAGCTCCTTATTTTCATTTGGTATCAATTTTACTTGGCTTAAAGGACTTCCTTTAACATTTCTTGAAATGCGGGTCTGTTGAAGATGAGTTCTTTTCAGTTCTGTACTTTGAAAAAGTTTATTTTGCTTTCATTTAAAAAATTTCTTCTGAATATACCATTCTAGCATTCTTTCAGAACTCTAAAGATCCCTGTCCACCATTGTGCTTGCATTGTTTCCAAGTATAAATCTGTGGATGCTTATATCTGTTCCATACGCTATGTGAGTTTTTTTCCCTCTAGTTTCTTTTAAGATTTTCTTTTATCACTGGTTGTGAAAAATTAGGCTATAATATGCTTTGGTATATTTTTAATTTTTATGGGCATGGGATAGGGTTCATTGAACTTACTGGGTCTGTCAGTTTATAATTTTTATAAACTTTGAGGATTTTCTGGTTGATATTTCTTCAAATACCTTTGCTCTTTCTCCTCTGCAATTACACATGTATTCTTGAAGGTGTTACACTGCATGTTAGTGTTTTTTTTTTTTTCATTTTAATTTTGAACAGTTTATATTCTGTCTTCATATTCCTTAATCATTTCTTCATCAGTATCTAATCTGCCTTTAAACTTACTCTATTTATTTTTTTATCTCAGCCATTGGACTTCTCATCTGCATGAATTCAATTTGAGTCTTTTTACAAAATATTTGTGTCTCTAGTCAATGTTTTGAACATACTAAATCCAGTCATAAAAACTGTTTTAAGTCACTACCTACTAATGCTAACATCTACATCAATTCTTGGATTCTTGGTTGGTTTAAATTGATTGATACTTTTGCTCTTTATGGGT